TAATTTTCCTCAATCTCCCAGGGAGATTTTTGTGAGAAGTTGACTTCTAATATTCTATAGTTTGGCAATTGACCTGATGCCTTAGAAAATTTTGTTAAAAATTCCTTAATTTTCCAAGTTGCTTCAATTGATGCTTTTAAAAAGATTAAATAATCGTATGCAAATTGAAGAATAGGAATGTTTGGGCCTTTTTGAGGAATACACATTTGTGCCCCACAATGCCCCACAGCACATCCCGACCTTGTATTGAGAGCATTTCCCGATGATGTCTTATCATCTCCCGTACTTATCATTGGGAGATGTTCCCAATACAAGGTCGAGATGTGTTGTGGGGCATTGTGGGGCACAGATGTGAACTCTTTTTTGAGATCTGAACTCTAAGTTCATCTTTCCTTCTTCCTGAGGCTTTCACAATTTGCCTACTGAGGGCTTCACTACAGAGGACAAAAATATAAGGAGATAATGGATCCCCCTATTTGATACTCCTAGTTGGGTTGAATTGTGATGGTGCACGATTTAGTGCTCCCTACTAGCAAACAACACAGACGTTGAACTAAGTAGTCGCCTAGCTGAGCTGCGAAAGAAGAGATCAGAGTATTGGGTTGCTATATCCGGGGTGGGCACTCCTATGCTTAAGTCAGCCAACTGGTACTTGATAGCAAGAAAGCTAGAGAAATAGAGTGTTGTGAGAGCTAAATCGCTCCTACCTCTTCTATGAAAGGGGATGTCTTTATATAGGCCATCAACCATGAGCTTCACGAAGCACGTCCAAGATCTCTAGCCAGTCTGGTTCGGAGGTGGTTTCATGCCTGGAGATGGACTCCACGTAAGTGGGTAGTGGCTATCCAGTTGCGCTCGAAGAGGGCGGGGTGATAACCAGCTCTTCCGACGTGGCGTCGTGATCCTAAGGAAGTCGAAGACAAAAACTCACGCGTAGGCCACTAACTGAGTGATTACTAGGTCTGCAGAGGCATATCTAAAGGGATGAGAGATCCATCACATGGATGGCTGAACCCTGCAGGAAGGTAGGGCGAAATTTCAAAAATTTCTCTCTCTTCCATCTGGGAATCGCATTCTCTATTTTAGAAAATTGCATTTTCTATGATCAATCTTGAACCAAACCGGACCAGATCTGAAACCAAAAGGGAGGAGAGGGATATACCTTATATGAAGTAGCAGTAACTCCCAATGAAGGTGTTCACACCCAAGGAGATAACCAAAACCCGCTTCCACTGAAGATGACACAGTGTGTGGTGAAGCAGGATCAACAGGACGACTCTTCAGCAAGAACCGAATTCTTTAGCAAGAATGGAGTAGAGGGCTGGTGAGCACGACTTCAGATTGCTTCTTCTACCAAGAAGCAATATCAAGAACAATTCTTAATCATTCCCACAAGTGGAGATCGAACTGGGTAGGGGCGGCAAGAATAGGGAAGAACTCTGTAGTTTGTTGTGTTGTATCTTGTGTCTCTTTCATGTCCTTCCTACTCTCTTATTTATAGCCTTAAAGAGACAACCTCCTAATCTGATTAGGAGATTCCTGATCCAAATCTTTATTTGGATCTGGACTCTTTAAGTGATAAGGATAATCCCTTATCTTATCTGCATATCGAGATCAGTTTAATCCTAATCAAATTAGAAGTTTCCTTATCCAAATCTTTATTTGGATCTGGACTCTTCAAGTGGATAAGACTTATCCTCTTATCCTTATCTGCTGATCCATTCTCAGATCCACCCCTATTTAATTAATCTAATTAACCCAGTTCGAAATTGGGCTTTAGGCTCATTAAGTTTATGTGCTCACTTAACCTCTTAACATGCTACCCAGTTGGCTCTCTTTGTATGGCATGGGACCCAAACATTGATCTACACATTAGCCACATGGGTTCAGCCCAACCTTTGTTACAAGGTCTGGCCGAATTCACTGTAGGAGACAGTGAAACCCGAGTCCATCACTATGGACTCTTAATTGGCCCAACATTTACACTAAATGGTCCTTGGGTCCAGCCACTTTATGAAAACCCTCAATGGTCTTACACTTAATCTCTCAGCCCATAATGATCAAACACTATCCAATAAGAGATGACCTCTCCCTCAGCTGCAAGGAACAGTGCTGCACTTTCTACTCACATGGATCATGGGAATTAAAACCTTTTTGCAAAACATTTTGAAACCATAATATATATATATATATATATATATATATATGTATGTATGTATATCTCTATATAAATATATTTTGCAAAAACAAATTTCAATGGTTGAAATCAACTGCCGGCAATTTAGATTTCCATCAGAGAGAGTGCATCCCCGATCATTCACTTTGTCCAACAAATGGACTGATCCTATCACTATGATCACCCACTCAGATGAATTCTCAGACTGTTCCAACATACTCAGGTTTTGACCCCCTCTAAGGATCTCACTGATTGTCATATCAAAGACAGCCCGATCCGACACCTAGTGTAGTACCATAATTGAGTCTAGGGGTCAGGTGTAACATTTAGTTTTGCCAATCTATCTCCAAGGTGTAGGGCAATACTGGAATTTTGGTATGGTTTAGGTTTCAAGAAAACTCACACTGCATGTACCTCAGGTCTCACCCTAGCAGTTGAGACAAGCCACCCCAACCAACTTGGCGGTACATCAGTGTCAGCCTTGGTAGGATAAATCTCTCCAGATCTATCCAACAGTTGTGAAGATTCTAAACTAACACGAGTCTCATAAGTGTCCAGTTTAAGGGTATTACACAGAAACACACCACAATGACATGAATCAATTATGTACTTTATCCATTTACAATAAATGTCAAAAAATACATCAATTTGATTGGAGCTAAGGGCATAATTGTCTAACAATATCACCTCTTATGCCGACCTGGTGTAGTTCGATCTATCTACTGGTTGTCCTACCAAGGTGAGGTCGAGGAGTCCGCAATAGGGGCGAGGTGCTTGTCGTACTTCCAAAGTCTACTTTCGTGGTGCTGAGTTGTCATCTGACAATTTTGTGGAGTCACAATGTCACTAGAGGGTCAAACCTGCCCTCATCAAATTGTTCCCCTGGTGACCCATTCACTAATACTTGATAATATATTGTAGAGATACATTCCATAACTAAATCTACCTATTTCTAATTTAACTAGAATTTTTCAAAAGTGTTCCTTATATAAGACCATCTAATCAATAATAGGCTTTTTCCATGTCGATGTTTAGGCTACAAATCCTGTTTGACCTTTTTTCTTCCTTGTAGTATGGAATATTTCATGGGCAATTAGAATATTGTCCATAATTTGTCTTCTAGGGGCAAGAGCTTATTGATATTTAGTAATCATTTTATCAGTATATTATTTAATAAGATTTTCCATGATTTTGGCAATTAACTTGTATATAACATTACATAAACTAATTGGTCTAAAGTGCTCTGCTTTTTCAGGACTATTATTTTTGGAAATGAGAATGATATAGGTTTTATTTAGTTGTTTAGTCATTCTTCCTGAAAAGGAAGAAAGCTTCTATTACCCAACTAGTTGTATTTTAGTTAATCATTTTATGATTAGTGAATGTTTTGCAAAATATAGAAATATTTCAATATTTAAAGTATTATTGAAATAATGGAATGTAAATTTAAAAAATATTAGGAAAATTTTCTCCTCTTTATTGCTTAGCTACAATATTAAATCCTAAGATTAGGAAAGATGGTTTTGATATTTTACTATCATATTGTGAAAATATGAATTCTAAAATTGGAAATAAAAAAACAAGAAATTAATAATTTATTATTTGAAATATACAGTTTATATGAGTCTCAATTTTTAAGGCATAGGAAAACTTGTACAAGTGCAACTTCCACTTTTGAAACATCTAATTCTAGTAGTGGAAAAGAAATTTTTTGGTCTTTAATAAATAAAAGGCAAAAAAATTATTTACAAGCTAAATTTTCTAATTTAAATGATTCTTTTGACTTAAAGGAAATAAATAATTTTGATATTTTTGCCTAGTGAAATGAACATGGAAGAATTATCAATTTCTTGCCACCATGGCACGTGATCTTCTAACCCCTCCAGTGTCTACAGTTCCATGAGAGTCTCATTTAAGTGTAGGTACTAGGGTGTTGGATGACAATAGAAACCAGATGAATGATGAAATCCTAGATATGTACATATGCTTGAAAGATTGAGTGGATGGTAAGGATATATTGCAAAATTTTCACATTTTTACTAAATGCAAATGATGTAGACCAGGGTCAAGGTAATGGAGATAAGGGTAAAATGAAGTCAATATTTTTTAACCCAAATTATTTGTTACTTTTTCAATAATACCATTCTATTTTTTTATTTTCTATTTATAATTTTATTATATTATTTTTATATAACAAAATTAATTTCGGTTGCCCATTACGGATAATTTATTAAAATATCTTATAGAAGTAGAAGTAGAAGAATGGATAGATGATAGGTTATTCACCGAACAAAAAAAGATAGATGATAAGTCCCACTTCTCCCTCGTTCAATGGCCATTTCGAATAAGGTATCTACGAGGTTTATTCTTTTCGCGGAGTCCGGATCTGCTGCTAACATCAACCTCACAACGCCGTAATTTGTGTTGTTATTTATAATAAGATGTTCGCAATACACGGTGGGATAGGGTTGTGAGATCGGTGTGAGGTGCTCTATATGAGGAGTAAATCACAATTCCTTTCGCCTCATGTCGGATGCACCAAAAAACCATGTGCTCCACCTGTCTCCACAGTAAAGGAAAAAGGCAAAAGGAAAAAGATAAGGGCGTTTGATTGGATAAGCGTGGCTTCCTTCTTGGAGGTCTTATCCAATATCCACTTTTTCTTGTGTTGGATTGGAAAGCGACAAAATAGTTTAAAGACAATCCGCGTCGCCTCACCGCACCACAACTCAGCTCAGTAA